CCCCCCCTCGGCACCTGCAGCTCCGGGCACGAGCTGGGCTGCCCATCCATCCTAAGTCCCGTTCTCGCCCCCTCCTGCGCCTTACACGGGGCACCCCTGGCAGGAACCCACTGCCCGCCCCGAGCAATGCTGGGTAACTCCAGCTAGTAGTCAAATAACTGATTAACCATTAAGAAAAGTCTTCTGTTTTGGCTGGTTATAAACATATCATTGTGATGTATGGTTTTTAATACTATCAAATAGCAATTGTTTCGACAAGGTTTTAAAATAAGGCTATAAGGCACATGTCATCTGAAGAAAATGCCCAGCAAAGTATCTCTTGTGTTTTGGAGGGAAAAAATTTACAAGACTAGTCTTCTAATTCCATGAGTCTGACTAAACAGTGAAATGCTAGCTCAACTCTACCATGATTCCCAAAATTCAGAATTGGAACTTTCTGCTTTTGATATAAATTACAAATTAAGGCTATAATGTCACTATCCATATAATCACTTTCCAGATATTATTAACACTAAATTCATTTGCTGGAGACTTTGGAACCAGACTCTTATGCAAAAAGTCACTTTATCTGCATAATAGAGGGAAGGGCAAGGGGATGGAGTGTAGATGGCCTAAGTGCTTTCTCAGATTTTCCTATCTTTATACAAGGCAACATGACTAATTATAGTACTTGAAATTGGACTGTTTGATTCCACCTACCCCCTCCTTTTCCTGCCTTTATTTCTTGCAGCCTTTGAACCAAAAAGAGGTCTCCATAATCAAGAAAATAAGAGAAAAAGTTGAGGCTTTGATATTGTTTGCTTTGTCATATTTTGACCTTAGAAGGGACACAGCACCATCATTAAGATGTTTGATGAAGTCCTGATGTTGGCACATCCCTCCACCGCCTGGGCTGAAGCTCTGATATCTGGTATTCCCCCTCTGTCCTGCCAATGAAGTGGGGAGCTGCAGAGCTGAAAGCCCAAGCCCTGGGGACTTCTCTGGGGCTAAAAGCAGGAGCTGCGGGGTTGAAGTCCTGGGTCCACCCTCTCCCTCAAACTGAAGCCTGGAGAGGCAGGGCTGACTCCTGGGTCCCTGGTGCTCTCCATGAAGCAGAAGCCCCTGAGCCCATGGGCAGAGATATGGGATGATAGGGATGTTTCCCCTGTTCAAACTTCAGTGTAAGTGTAAGGGGGCAATCCTGGGGACAAACTCACGCCACCTCTTCGGGTCACTTATCACACGTCCATTCCCATGTCAATGAAAGGAGTTTGCTAATGCTTACAGGCAATGGAAACAACAAATTCTATGTGACTGGGAAAGGAGAGGGAGATTGTCTCTGCTATGCCAGCAGGGAGTGCTGCTGTGAGACTTTTGTATCACCAACTCAACCCTCCCCCCCCCCAAAGTGTCCCACCTTCCAGATGTTC